AACACAATTTAATAGCTTCAACAAGAGCATTAAAATTGATTTCTTCTGAATCAATTGACTTTTTTCCACTTGACATGCCCAAAAATACTAGAAAAAAAAATGAAAACAACATTTAAATAGTATGCCTGCAAAGTCGTATTTTTTATGCTGCCCAGATGGGTGTTGACACCGTCTCACAACTGGTGATATGCTGTGTCTCACACCCAGAAATTGGCGCTATTTTGAAAAAGGAAAATTAAATTATTTTCAACCGTAGATTGGAACAATGCAATATTGCATCACAAAATATAAGGAAAACACTAAAAGAAAATGCATTACATTTACCTTTTCCAATTAATTAACTTGGAAAAAAAGTACTTTGCATTTATTGAAAAAACGCTTTTTAGTCGATTATCACACACAGTGTTGGTATTTAACAAAAACAGTTTATATATTCGCTTCGGCGTACACGAAAAAGTTAGCTCATATAAAAAGAAATGTTTTTATATAAACCAATCGTCTTTTTAATATTGCATGTTAAAAAAAATTGACTGTCTCACAACTGGAGGTGTCTCACAACTAGAGACTCTCCCCTATAAACGTCCAAGCATGTTTTTTGACAAATGCAGTGAATTAGTCGATTTTGAACGGTTTTTGGCTGAAAATGCTCTGCCGTTTATAATGATATCTCGCTAACCGATTAAGATTTTTGAACTCCTTTGGTCTTAAATTAAAGATGAGACTTGAATGATCACACTTATGTAAGTTTCAAATTTTTTCTACAATTTTTAAAAAATGTGCACGGGTGACAAATTTGTCAATTGCTGCAAACTTTGTATAAATTATTAAAATTTATAGTTATATATCATTAATCGCAGAATTTAAAAATCTTTCGAATGGTATATTTGTTAATTTTCTGGCATTTGTATTTACAAAAAAATCCTGATTTAAAGATTGGTATGTTTTTGGGCCGTGCGCGTGCAGCCGTACCGATAATTCCCGACGGTAGTGTAATTTTCAAACATCCGAATTACTTTTTAACCTATAATGCAAGTCACAGAAAGTTCATTTGTCCTAAAAATAACAATAGAAATGAGAAAAATATTTGAAAATTTCATTGTTATTTTTAGGACAAATGAACTTTCTGTGACTTGCATTATAGGTTAAAAAGTAATTCGGATGATTGAAAATTAAATGTCAAATGGAATTTTGGACAAATAAATCTTATGTTAAATGGTTATTCGAATAAATGAAAATTATGACAAATAAAATTTCTATAAATTAAAATTTCTGAAATATGACATTTCGTAGATTGAAAGGTTATGTCTCATGAGAATTCGAGTAAATGCGTTTTATGTCACTTGATAATTCGAGTAATGGACAAATAAAATATATATTATGACAAATAAAATTTCGATAAATGAAATTTCTTAAATATGACATATCGAAGATTTGAAGGTTATGTCACATGAGAATTCGAGTAAATGCGCTTTATGTCACTTGATAATTCGAGTAAATGAACATTATGACAAATAAAATTTCGATAAATGAAAGTTATGTAATATAATATTTCGAAGGTTTGAAAATTTTGTGAAATGGCAATTCGGAGGATTAATAATTACACTCGATTCTCGTTATAACGACGATCTCGGGACTTCAAAATCTCGATATAACGACAGAAGGAGAAGATCCTACTTCACGTTCTATTCAAACGTCAAATACGTGCAAAATTTTTCGTAATGTATGTTTATTTATATTAAAAGTTTTTAAATTATAGAATCAGTTTAAAGAAAAAGTAAGTATTTTTAATAATAATCGGATCACTAGATTCTTTAGGTTAAATAAAGTTAAGAGTCGATTAAATTTGTCGTTTTTTTTGAGTTAACCAAAATTTTGGTTAAATTGAATTCTTAAATTCGTTCGTGTTTTTTTTGTCGTTGTATCGAGAGTTTTAATGTTCGTTATAACGAGAGAACGTTGTAACGAGATTCGTTATAACAAGAATCGAGTGTATGACAAATAGTCATTCGGAAAAACATAATGTATGTCAAAAAATTTTTCGACATATTAAAAATTATATTAAAAAACAATTCGACTATTTAAATAATAGGATAAAGAAGTCTCCTTCACTGAGAGAAAAGAGGGAACACTGCGGTACATTTGGAGGTTGTGTATGGCAATATACAGTTGGTTCTACTGCGTTCTCTAAAGGGGCGTGTAACGCGCCCCCAAGAGCGCGCTGCTGACTTTTTCGCGAGTGTGCTGTTGACTCGACTCGTGGGTTCGAGAGAAAAGAGTCAGCAGCGCGCCCTCGGGGGCGCGTTACAAGCCCCTTTTAGAGTACGCGGTAAAACCAACGTTATATTGCCACACACAACCTCCAAATGTACCGCAGTGTTCCCTCTTTTCTCTCAGTGTTATACTACTTTATGATATTAAGTATCGTAAAATGTGTTTACTCAATGAACTGAAAGTCGCTCTGTGTTGGGGCGCAAGCGTGAGTGGATATGAAATATCAGTGTATGTGTGTGATGTAGTTCGAAGACTAGCACATGTTTTTTCCAAAAATTCGTAATATTTTATTTGTGAAAGATTTACAATTAGAAAAATTGATTTCTTACAAGAATAAGGTAAGTTAAATTTTTAAAAATATTTTATGGCAAAAATCTATTTTATTTTTTATTATCTTTTTATGACATAATTATTGTATAATAAAGATTATTTAAAAGAGGAAGTATCTAACCTAAAAATTGTAGGTTATACTCGTGTAAAAATCATTTTCAATTTATTAAAGATTGCTGACATTTATATCTAATGATAGTTTAAAAAGTTATTTAATGATGTGATAAAAATTAAATTTTTTAAATATTTTACAAACATTAATATTTTAGTATGTTATTTCAATTTATAATTTTGAAAGGTAAACAATGAACAAATTTTATAGGTTATACTCCCTGATGAAATTATTCCCTTTTGTTAAAGGTTATAAAAATAAAATATTTTCATAATTTACATTTATTTTATTGTAAAAACATTTTGTAAAATAATAATTTTAAATTATTAAAATTATTTATATTATTTAAATTATTAAAATACTGAAATTAACATGCAAACATATTTTTGTAACGTCACCTTTAATAAAACGAGTAATATATACAGTACGAAAACCTACCACGTCAGTCATATCCCATGAGTGGGAGTGAGACAGACTTATGCGATTCCCATACTTTCCTATGACTGACGGATAGCTTTTCTTACTGTATATTTTTATATATATATAGTAATGATGCTATCACTCGGTCGATAAAATTTTAAGATGATGAAAAAAATCGATCACTCCGAGTCAGGATTCAAAAAACAAAAAAGAAGTAATTTCTTTTAACGTTTCAACAGCACGGCTGTCCTCTTTAGAAACTATAATTTATTAAAAAGAATTTTTTGATGCGAATTATAAACATTTTTACAAAAATTAATTTACAAAGAAAAATAAAATACAATTATTACCGTAAGAATATTATATTAAGCAACAAGGGTATAAAGGCAGCCATTTGTTTACGGTGATTTTTGTGACACGAGTAGGATCAGCGGTTATGTTTGCACATGGGAGAAAATGGACGCCATTTTCATATGGTCGAACAAATGAGTGACTTTACTCCTTGTCGTCAGCTATCTAAAAGCGCTATTTTTGTGCATGTGGGATAAAAAAATTATAAATCATTTAAGTCACACATTGCTTATACAAGACTAACGTCTTCGTCGAAGCAAGAACGATTAGACACTAGTTCAAAATAAGCAACGCAAGTAAAATCGATGAAGATGAGGTGACTGACCCACCAGTAAACAAAAAATAATAGAATAGAAGAAATACCACTTGGTATTTATTTATAAACCTTGAGGTTAATCAAAGCAGATAAGAGTGACACGTGTTTTTTTTATTGAGAAAATGGATGTAGTAGTTATTGAGATTTTGTGTATCATCTTTTTTGTAACAGTGTTTTTTTGCAAATTAATGTGGATCATTTCTGATATTAAACGTTTATTATAATTTGGAATAATTTTGTAATACTCGACAAAGAGTCTAATCTAAATAAGAGTCTAATCTAAGTTGTGATTTAGCTTGTTATTATGATCAGCAATTACATTAGTCGTAGAGTTTTTATGTTCATTAATACGTACACCAACATTTCTAATTTCATTTATTGTAATATCTTGACAGTTCCTATAGATAATAAAAAAATGAATCATAACCTTGTCAAAAAAGCTAAGGACAAAAGCAAAAAACTCAAAATGTTAACACCGTTTATAAAATTAACTGTGGTAATTGCTCTGCTTCTTATGTTGGTTAGTCAAAAAGAAATGTTGGTGTACGTATTAATGAACATAAAAACTCTACGACTAATGTAATTGCTGACCATATTAACAAGCTAAATCACAATTTCGATTGGAATAATTTTTTAATACTCGACAAAGAGTCTAATTATAATAAACGTTTAATATCAGAAATGATCCACATTAATTTGCAAAAAAACTCTGTTAACAAACAAGATGATACACAAAATCTCAATAACTACTACATATATTTTCTCAATGAAAAGAAACACGCGTGACTCTTATCTGCTTTGATTAACCTTGGTATTTCTTCTATTCTATTATTTTATTTTTTGTTTACTGGTGGGTCAGTCACCTCATCTTCATCGATTTTACTTGCGTTGCTTATTTTGAAATAGTGTCTAATCGTTCTTGCTTCGACGAAGACGTTTGTCTTGTATAAGCAATGTGTGACTTAAATGATTTATAATTTTTTCTTACGGTAATAATTGTTTTTTATTTTTTTGTAAATTAATTTTTGTAAAAATGTTTATAATACGCATCAAAAAATTCTTTTTAATAAATTATAGTTTCTGAAGAGGACAGCCGTGCTGTTGAAACGTTAAAAGAAATTACTTCTTTTTTGTTTTTTGAATCCTGACTCGGAGTGATCAATTTTTTTCATCATCTTAAAAAAATATTTTTATATTTCAGTTGACTTATATTAACATATAAGACGCGTCGCGAAGAAAAGCACCTAAGAAGCATATCGAAAATTTTACAGGAGGAGGAAAAAAGGAAAGAGAAAATCAACTCTAAGCACGAATTTCTGTTTTGTAAATCATTATTACGAAAGTATTTCAGATAAGTATTTGATAAAAATTAATTTTGAGTTCAGATAATTAAAAAGTAATCTTTAATTTATCTGAAACAATCATAATCCGAAAATCGATGTTTTGCTTTTTAGGTGCTTTTCTTCGCGACGCGTCACATGTATATAAACAAAGTTTAGGGAAAAATGTGATATGGAGATGTCATACGTATTAAGATATTTTCTTTTAATTTCGAAGATGGGAAATATTTAAAAAGAAAATTTGCCTGTTGGTCGTGAATTTCCGTAGAACAGCTATGCAAAAATGGAAGACTTGACTCCAGATTATTTTGATAACGTTGGCAAAGCCGCTGTTAGCGACTACAAATTTTTAGGATAAAGCAAAACAGCAGCTGAAGGCAAATTTGTGCAAATTTTACGGGCGAATACAATACCTGACAATGTTATACAAAGTATATTAGAAAATACTAAGATTCTTGTGTCTTTATCCGTTGAAGAATTTTGCAATTCTGCTGAGAGTGAATTACAAAAAAAGATTGGAAAAAAATTGTCAGACCATGTGAATATTTCCAAAACTCAAAACAAACCAAGCGAAAGCAAAATTCATATTTAAAGAAAAAATCATCTTTTCTTGAACCAAAAAGAATTGAATTAGGCAGTAGAATAGTTCGAGATAATCAGGCAAAATTTGGAGAAAACAGAAATTCGAAATTACATTTTGATGAAATGACGTATGTATCTGTGATAGACACTATTAAAGTCCTTTTTTCTAACGAAGAGTATACAACATTTTTAAATATCGACCATGTAGGAAATGAAAATGTTTTTTGTAGTTTTATGGATAGTTCTGTTACTAAAAATAATGTTCTCGTTAAAGATTCAACTAACAATATAGTATGGATTATTTTGTATTTCGATGAAATGAATCTTACTGACACAGCTTCCTCTAGACATACTCAAATGGGCATGTTTTATTTTACTTAAATATTCATTCTCGTCACAGATCCAAATTAAATTGCATAAATCTAATTACCTCTGTCGAAACACATTTAATAGATACTTATGGCATGTCGGAAATTTAACGACCGATTGCAGAAGAATTAAAAAAATTGGAAGAAGGCATAGAAATGTATGACAAGAGCATTTTGCATGGTATTCCACTTGGTTTCATTGGCGATAATCCTGCTGCTATGAAAATTGGTGGTTTTTAGAAGAGTTTTATAGCTGAACATTGTTGCCGATATTGTATGGCTGGTAAGGAGCAAGATAATAGAAGGCAGCTTATTTAAAAGACTACGGTTGATATTAATTCGATTTCTTACAGGTAAATCAAAAGTCATGAGCTTGAAAACATTCAAGGAAATCTGATGGAATTTGACATGTATTTAATTCTTTATGAATGTTTTTAATAAAAGTATGTATTCGCTTAATTAATTAATTAATTACTTAATTACTGTGATCAAAAATTAAAAATGTTACAACATTTTATTTTTTAACTTGTTGACTGTCGCTGACGAATATATGCGCAAAACTAAACTGGCCAAAAGTGGTTCATGACGCATATGTGACTGTCCGCGACAAAAGGGACCTTAGCTCCCAATAGTGAATTTTGCAGGAAAGGCGATTGAAGTAGTGCGTCTCTGATTGGTGGAGACGTTCTACTAGAATTCAGCCCCACTACTCACTATACATTGATATTTGTCCGCGTTACACGAAGCGCACAAATTGTATGTAGATGACCAGTGCAGTTGTATTGAAAAGTAGAGGGGCTGCTTTTCTGAACAACCACGTGTAAACACTCAACAAGCTCATTTTTAAACATTAATAACAAAAAAATCTATAAGTAAAAATTATTTTTGATGCTTGTATGTGAAAGAGCAACTCAATAAATATTGAATAATATACATAACTCGAAATTAATTTTTGCGGACCTAAGGTCCCTTTTGTCGCGGAACGTCACATATGTGCGCAACCTAAAAAAGGTGATTAAAAAGTTCTTAAATGTTCCTGAACCTGGTTACTCAGGGGTTTTCGAGGTCGCTGATTACGAATATGACATTCGTATTCCAAAATTCAAAATGGCGGATCCAATATGGCGGACAACAAAATAAAAAATTGATCAGATTGACTTGAAACGTAGTACTCGGGGGTTTTTGGGGTCACTGATTACGAATCTGACATCAGTTTTTCGAAATTCAAAATGGTGGATCCAAGTTAGCGGAAATTTTTTCACAATTCGTCGAATTTGCTTGAAACTTGTTACTCGGGAGTTTTAAGGGTCGCTGATTACGAATCTAACATTAGTTTTCCAAAATTCAAGATGGCGGACAACGAAATAAAAAATTGATCAGATTGGCTTGAAACTTAATACTCGGGGGTTTTTAGGGTCGCTGATGACGAATCTATCATTATTTTTTCAGGGTATTTATCAAAATTTGATTTCACCAAAAATTATTATACTGATGTCAGATTAACCAGTTTCAAACAAATTTAATAAATTTAAAAAAAATTTCCGCCATATTGAACCAGATATTTTAAATTTTGAAAAACTGATTTCAGATTCGTAATCAGCGACCCTAAAAACCCCCGAGTATTTAGTTTCAAGCCAATCTGATCAATTTTTTATTTCGTTATATTGGATCCGCCATTTTTAATTTTGGAAAAGTATTGTTAGATTCGTAATCAGCGACCCTTAAAACCCTTAGTAACAAGTTTCAAGCAAATTCGACGAATTTTGAAAAAGTTTTCGCCATTTTGGATCCGCCATTTTGAATTTCGAAAAACTGATGTCAGATTCGTAATCAGCGACCCCAGAAACCTTAGGGTATCAAGTTTTATAAAAATCCATTAAAAACTTTTTCAACACACTTTTGGCCCAAACAGTGGAAATCTCGTTAACAGCCAAGGGGTTAATCTTACGTTATGTTAACAAAATAAACAATCTGAATATATCTATATGTTTAATTTAATACAGACCCCTCAATTTTATAGGTTATTAATATTTTAAATATCTATATGTTCATATAGAAAATCATTGTATAAACGTTTTTTGCCCCACTGGGGCTGTAATGTTTTTAAAATTAATTATTATCAATGAACTTTAACACAAAGAAAATAATTAATACTGTAATTGAGGCTCCGCATCTTAAAAGAGCACTTTTACCATGTTAAATCAATGCTGAAAGTGCCCTTTTAAGATCCGGAGCATAAATTATAAAATTACAACAAATTTTATTTATAATTTATTAATTAAATTTACCCTATTACTTTATAAAGTAACCTTGCTTCCCAAAGCATAGGGACATGTACTTTAGTACCTTAAAACGTCAGACTTTATTACCGACAGTAGCTAACTTTCAGTCAATGCACGGAACATATTTTAAGGTTTTTGATTTGGTACTGACTTTCACGCAGAGTGTACTGACTCACATCACACCTTAAATGGTAACCATAGTAAATAATATACTCAATTAAGAAGAGGCGAAATGCAAGCGCAAGAATCGGGACAATGAGAGGGAGATATAAAATACTTTTTTTTCTTCTTTATTGTCCTGTTAAAATTTAGAGAGAAAATACAAAACATCTCTTTCACTCTTAATGTCCCCACTCCGGAACTAAGGAAAATCAATGCGCAAATTTGCATGAGTAAACGGCGCTACTTCGGCAGTTTTTTTTCTCAGTGTAGAACATAATGAAACCAGATGAAATTAGCTAAGTAAATAATATTAATTGTAGAATAGAATAAAATTCTATTTGTTGATTCTACAATTCTATTTTATTTGCTACAGCCTAAAACCATTAAATAAAAAAACTTAATAATTATAAATACAATAATAATTATTAATAAATAAAAAAGTAAAATTTAAAAATACAAATATAGGTAATAATAAAACTTTGGGTATAGTAAATTGAAAAATATACTAAAAATTAGCAAAATATAGATATTCTTCTTGTTTTCTGAATAGGAAAAGAAAAATTTTGTTTTCTAACTTCAATGAAACGTATTTTATTCAATACAGTATAAATTGATTGCAAATTTAAAGAATAAATAGAAGAATCGAATTTCTTTTTTATCATAAAGGCAAAAAAAGTAGCGTAAAAAATTATGGTAAATTTTTTATTATTGAATATGAAAGTCACATTGGTTGAGATAAGAGGAGTGCCCTTGTATGTTAAAAGTCCGTAGAGAACGCACATGTTCAATGAGAATAGATTGAAGCAACTCGACCGAATAACGGTTGAGCGTCGATGGTCTATATAATCTTTTGAAGTCTTCTATATGCACTTTATCAATATATTCCTCATATATATTGATATATAATTACATATAGAGTAAACTAAACCACCATCGTAATTTTAAAATTTATTATTATTATAATTAATATTCTAAACGTCGCACATACATCTGCATCAGGTTCTTATTAGTACACGAAGAAACATTTTCTTCTAATATTAAATATATTTGCTTATCTTTATTCTAAAAGTTCTTTAGAATGTGGGAATTTTCAGTGCATTATGTTAATAATTTCAACATTAATACGAAAATATGATAAGTTCCTTATATATTAAGTAACATTCGGTGTACAAAAATTACTATATCTACATTAGAAATAGTCTTATTTTTCTGTAGAAAAGAATAAGATGACAGTTTTTGTTTTTGAAATAATACGATAATTCTAACCTTTTTTCCACATATAGATAGAATATATGTAACGGGCAAAGACCGGAATTAGACATTCTCCGATAATGCCCGGTCAATGTCGACAATGCCTAAAATCGTTGGTCATTGTCGACATTGTCCTGTATATTTTACCAATGTTAAAAAAACTTTGACAATGACCGTGTTATGTTTGAATTCGATTGTTTATGATTTAATTATTATTAATTTAAAAGATTTTATAATTTAATCGAATTCGGACTTAACTGTATTAAAAAGAATTTTTAATAGTCTTAAATCAATAAAACGCTCAGTATTTTATAGTAAGAAATGGATGTTAAATTTATTTCAAAATAAATACTGTTATTAAAAATTTAGGATCCCCCCTTTAAGTACGTTATCAGTTCAACGTCTCCGATTAGACGGTATTTTTTAGTTGAAAGAAAAAAGGAAAAGGTGGCAATAGTAAGGTAGAATTTCAATAAAGACACTGAGTAATATGTGTAATATGATGTCACAAGAGTCTGTTTATTCAGTACGTTTAAATAGATTAATATTAATTTTATTACAATTGATATTGTCTTATCATTATTACAATGTGTACCCCTTTTAATTTATATTAATTAGGTCTTAAAAAAATACCCTTTATGACATTACATTTAATAAAATAAAATCCAATACTTAGAATTGAGACAATAGAAAAAATTATAACTTATGAATATACCTCTGTTTTAGACAGAAAATGATATTTAAAGAAATTAACTAATAAGTGTATGTGTGTGTAAATGTGTAAAAGTAATTACAGAATAATTATTAATTAACTCACCAATTATAACTTATTAAAATTTATATCTCTTTTTTTTTAGACAGAAAAGTCTCTTATTCCTAGTCTTCCAGTTACACCTGTAGTAATATTCACGTATTCACTTTTACTTCTCTTTTTTTATCTCTTATATTCTTTTTAATGGTCTTTAAATAAATTCCTTTTTTATTTTAGAAAAAATCAAAAAATCAAAATTGATTTTAATATTTAAAATTTTGGGGTCACCAAATTTTAAATTTGTAATCAATTCTGAAATCCTTTATTATACGTAGAATGAAAGAACTAAATCTTCAAACCACAAAAAAACGAGGTTTAATATTTTTATTACTTTTTTCTTCTTTTAAAATTCTCTTTTCTTTGTTAATAATCTTTATCAATTTATTCTTTTTCTCACACAAACTGCTTTCTCAAATATTTTTCACTTTTAGTTCAATTTATCTCGAATAACTTCTTTAATATTTCCTTTTATCTTTATATTTTCAAATAAATCACTTTGTTTCAATTATAATCTTCTATAATCAACTTTAAATAATCATTACTTCACTCAATATTATATATTTTCACAATAGTAAACAATTAAACTCAATTGATTCAAATTATATAAAATCAACCCGTAAAATTAGGGAAATAAAATACAAAACCTCCACCTTTTTCGAGAATAAATCACAAAATATAAAAAAATGGTAACGTCCGCTCTGCGGGAAATACTCATTAAGACTCCTCGATTAATTATCGTGGACAATCGGTCACACCCTGGAAAATCGACTAAAATCGGTAAAGTGGGAGAATCCGTTGCACACGGCCCACCAAACCTTGCTGTTGTCAAGCAAGCTTTTAGCAAACTTGCAAATTCCTCAAGAATGGCGTGATATAGTTTGATACTTTGTATCCTGTTTCGCCAATATGCATTCAATTTAGGTATTCTCCACAATAT